CCTCTGGAGTTCACACAATCCCAGCCTGGCAGAAGCACCTCCCTTCTCTTCTACTCTTCAGTATTACTCAGTATTTTCCAACTCAGCATTTCCCACATTTCCAGCCCATCACTCTTCCAATGACTAAACTCAATGATGTTCAAGCCAACCTCTCTCCAAACTATCTCCCTTTTGAACTCAGCCCTCCAGATGGCTCTCAGATCTTTCTCAACAGCTGTTTTACACTATTTTAGCAAAACCTCATCACATCTCTCTGATCACTCCTTTCCTTTCACAAGTTCCATGTCTCCACCCATCTATTTTCAGTATCACCTTTTCCCATCATAGAGCTATCTACGTGACACAAGGCACAAGAAGAGTCCTCAAAAAATAAAGCTGCACAACTCACCATTCCCATCTGGCTGCATGAAGGTGAGCAGGTTCCCACTACACATCAGCAGCTGAGCCAAACCTGCTTGCTGCTCTTATGCTCCTCCAGATCTATTCCTTGAGGAAAGCAGCCTAAAAGCCTTTTCTCCTTGCCATGCCTTCAGAGTAGAGCTAAATAAAGCTGAAATAAAGCTGAACAAGAGAACAAAAAGGAGTCATCTGCCCTATGCTGCAAGACACCAGTGCCTAAGTGTTCAGAAGCACAAAGAAAAACGAAAAAAGTGCATTTTTGTTATAGTAGCATACATCACCACTCATTTCATCACCAAAATGCTAAACAACTAAAGAAAAATGAGAAAAAGCATTTAAAGCCAGGTTGCTAGCAACGTAACTCCTCCCAAAAGAGGTGATTTGAAACTCAGTCCGCAGTTTTTAAAAAAAAAAGATCCGGTGAATTATTAACAACCACATTGCAGCAGTCTTTCAAAAAGAGATCTGCACAAGGCACACTGCTGCCTGCTGCCCCATAAGGGCAACAAGGGCAAGTACCAGCAGCACAGCTGGGCAGGTGCTACCAGGAACAGTGGGCACAGGGATGGGCTAAGCACTGGATCACACGCCCTCCAGCAGCAACAGGATGGGAACAAAGGAGATGTTCTACCCACATCTCAACAGCACTTTCCACCAATCTTCATAAGAGGACCTCCTCGCAGACATGCGTGTACTTAAGGAAGCCACTCAACAGACTGAACGCTGTCCAGATTGCTTCCCATCCCTCCTTTCTACATCGCCCTACTCTATTTCCATTTTCTGTCTGAAAACTAAGCCTACCCGAGGAAGCAGTGCGTACTTACAAACCACAGAGCAGTGGTTGCTGCTCTACGACAATGGTGTGAAGACCTAAACTGTGCCACTCACAAGGAAGGGCCAGGGCACCAAACATCTCAGATTTTGATGTTTAGCCAGATATAACACAGGGCTAACATTAAAACCAGGGGGAAGGAAAGAAGAATAACAAGTTTATTCCTGGAAGCTCAAAGGGCCACCCTAAAACTGAAGGAAAAGAGAAGGTATTCCTTAATTTAAGGGCAGAAAACAAGTCTAGCTTGAAAATAGCCAAGCAACAATAGGAAAACACAAACTTGTCTTAGCGCATGTAGAACAGGGCTATTCCACTGGAAAAATGCAGCTTGTTGCTGACTTAGAGCTGGAGATGCACCAGTTAACATTGAAAACAAAGTCACAAATATTCTCTTGAAGAAGGATTTAGTTCCCCTGGAAGGCAGCCCTGCACCTCATCACAACCATGTCGGAGGAAAGAAACAGGTTGTGGAGGTCAGTGCGCACAGCTCGTTCTTCCAGTCCTCCTTCAAAGGTGCTGAGTAGAAAAGGGTTCCAAGCTACCTCAAAACCCTCATACACACAGAGCTCCTTCCAGAAGCACCCGTAGCTCTAAGAAACATGCTGAAAATCATTTGCTTACCAGCAGAACATTACCTGACCATTCTGTACTCAGAATACTTCAATAAAACACCCACACAGTGACAAGAATGAGACTTTAATCAGTTTTAAGTGGAGTTTTAACACTAAGAGATAAAGGGTTGTTAAACACAATAACAAACGGACATCTGATTTGTATGAGGCATTATCCTGTACATGTCATACTTTGTGTATTCTCAGTGCATAGCATTACACACAGAGCCACTGTTGCACAGCACAATAGTATTTGAAGAGGCTGAATCAGAGTAAGGCTGCTTAACAGACTGATTTTTTTTTTTCTTTTAGTATCTATATATATATATATGCTATATGAAAACAGTCTGAAAATTAGAACTGGCAGAGAAAGGCAGCTCTGCCAAACGCTGCAGTCGGAGCCCCTTTTAGTGCACAGTTCCACCCCATCCATCTGCATGCATGACGCTTCTTAATGGTATCGTAAAGGTAAACGAGGCACTTTGTGGCAACCACAGGCATCATTAGCATATTGCACACATTTGCTACGACTAAACATGGAACTTGCACGCTAGCATCCAATTTTAGTTTTGCTTTCCAAGCTGAAACATCTGATGCTGTATGCGAACTCCAGTTCCCAACGTGTGCCTCAAATCCAGATGCTATTTGTACAGCTGCCCTTAAGAGCTGTGGCAAATATTTTGAGTGGGGCTACCAATGACCAAGGATGCTTAGGGCCTAACAGTAAGCTCTTACAGAAGTGATGCCTTCAAGTAGTTTCAGACATGTAAGCTGCTGCACATCCAGAAGTTTAAGCATACAGTCCAGAAACTCAAGGAGAGATTACCTACAGAATGCGTTTCAAGCTAATTATGAATACTGTCATAAATAAAGTTTTAATAAGGACTCAAAAACCTTTCAGTCATAGTAATTCTTGTCAACTTCTATGGGGGTGGTAACTGAAATAAACTATAGGAGAGTATGTATAATATATATTTATATATATAATATATATATAATGCCATTTTTTCCATTTCCAATGACTACACCATAAAATGTAAGCAAGGCTTCTCAGAAACATTGAAACATTCAAAATCAAAACCCTCATTCCAACCTTTCACATTCCAAAGGAAAAACAACAGTGCAAAAGCCCATCACATCTCTTCCAATCCAGCCCTCAGCGTTACGCACTGGAAGCACACCGATGCATTTTGTTTTCACAAACTTCAAAGCAGGACACAGAACGGTGTCGATATCTCAGTACTTTGAAAGCACGAACAGGTTTGTTTATTAGCCAACACAATCTTTTTACCAACTGTTAAAATCAGACAGGGTGAAACATGATTAAAAGGGTAAGAGTTAACGTCATGTCCCCAGGTAACCACTTCCTGCTTGTCAACACCACTGGGAACAGCGAGCACTGGAACCAGCCTCCTGCTCCACTGAGACACTACAGCTTGATCAGATCTCTATGTCAGAAAACATTTACCAGCTCTGTTAGAAGTTAGAATCGTGAATACGATGAGCAAAGTTGACCAACGGATCCCAAAAAAGCACGTGATACCTTCCTTCGCCAAGAGTGAGTCCTGCCTCGTCTCCTTCAATTCTTACCATTAATGCTGTCGTACAGGGCCCTCACGGATTCCATACACTGCTGTTATCTAGGTGAGAACACAGCTAATGAACTTCAATGTCAGCCCTATTAAGTTAATTGAGTAAGAGAAGTTTTAATTGAACAAGGGTAAATCTGGGGACAGCAATCCTTGGTGCACTTCAGAGTGAGCATCTTTGTCAGCTTCTTCACGTGTCCATACAACAGTAGTTGTACTGTCAAGTCATCTGCAGTCTGGGCATAGCAATTATATGCTGAAAGTGAATCTCAAGCCCTATGAACAAACAACACTGCCAGATGAGAAATCTAGTTTGTTTTGATTTGTGGTTTTTGTTGGTGTGTTGCTTTTTTTTAAATAGCAAGCAATACAGTTGGGACAAGTTCTGCTTGTGAAAAGTACACATCTTCATACAGACACAGCGTTGAGAATTCAACACTGTCTCCTGCAGTGTCTCTTTTTAAAATATTGTAGGTACTGAGTATTCAAGTAAAATTCCCTAACAGTTAATGACATTTTTAGAAAAGTGTGCAAAACTGCAAAACTCATTGTAATACAATGTGTAAGGTCAAAGGGGCGGAATGGCTGACAGAGGTTTGACTGAATAAATGCATCATAAATCTTCAAAATAAACACTAACCTGGAGAATCTCCAATTGAAATTTCCTGTGCACCGCTATAAAATACTTTCATATTAATGAGGAAAAAAAAGCCTGCAAGGCAGCACATGAAGTATTCTCAGCAGGAATATGATTGAAGACCTAATAAGAAATGTTGAGATGTTGCCTGACACATGCACTACTAGCAACTGACTTTTAGCACTGGTCTTGATTACACAGGAGATGGAGCAGCCGTTACAATTCAGTAAAACAATTAATGAATCACCGTCAATTTTTACAACAATTTGTTTCAAGCCTGTATTTTAAGATGATAGCCTCCACATTTGTATGGTTAAGTCATTGTTGCTGTGTTTCCTTTCTGTGACCCCAATAATTTTTCTCCCTTCATTTTGCAGGGCTTTAGGATGTTACGAAGGTTCATTCTTGTACCCCTATACAGAACCACTCCCTCTAGCTGCCTTTTCTAGCACCATTACACTTAAAAAAATAAAATGCACAAACAACAAGCAGTGACAGCAGCGACTCTTCAATTGTCCAGGATGAATTACGGCAGCATGCTAAAGAAAGGTGCAAGTAAATAGCCGGATATGGTACACAGGCCAAGCTCCAGCAGACTATATTCCTTTCTGAGCATTACTTTCCATCCCCCATCCAAAATACATGCATTAGAATGTAGTAAAACCTTCTAGAGACATCTCTTAGCCAACGGCAGACTTTTCTGTTGCCACATAAGTGCAAAAAAAAAAAAAAAGGGGGGCAGGATGTGAACCTGTATATTTGCATTTTTTCAAAACTTTGTTTGGTGACAGAACACAAAAGGAAAAATTCCTACGTATACACATTAAGTCTGTCTCCACTTTTATAAAACTGGAATAAAATGGGAAAGTGCCATATTTATAGTTCCTAATTGAAGTTTTAATGTCCTTTTGACACAAAAAGGTATATACATATCAGAGCTACGTAACCATTTTTATTCAACTGGACAAGTGTCAAACCTGTAGATTTATAGGGCAAAACAAGATTGGTCAGGAAAGAATTGTTCCTATAACTGGTAATCTGACACTATGTCCTATTGCCATTTAAAAAGGTCCTTTTTTCAGTTTATTCAAGTTTGTCATTCTTCGCATTTTTTTTCTTTTTTTTTTATCTCCGATAAAAAAAAAATATTCAGACTTTTGTAATCTGCGTATGCTGATCTTCATCAAAAGGTTCATTCTCTGGATCAGAGTCAGTGGTGTCAGAGTATCTGTAATGATCAGGTTCATTGTCACTAACATCTGGTGTTACAGAAGTTGAACTGCTAGCCTCTGGATTTGATGGCTCTTCTACCGTTTTTGTGAAAAATAGCTTCACCTGGGGAAGGAAAAAACAACAATTTAAAAAGGTAACCTGAACTTCAGCACAACACAGGTAACAACCGCTATCTGCAACAGCACAGCTCCTTTCACTATCCTGAGTGACACAACTGCTCCCCTCCCTAGTCTGGAAAGAAAAGAAAGTGCTCTTCGAGTAGCCAAACTCTCAGTACTACTCCTGAGAGAAGAGAGATCCACCAGCAAGCTCTGCTGAAGTTCTGGGCACCTGCACCAGCCGTTTCTGTTCTGGAGCTACAGCAGCTGGACATAACACTGCAGCCATGTCAGCTTTTCAACCCTCCTACCTCTACATCTCTAACAACACAGAGACCGTAATAACATTGCAGAAATGAACAAAGTGCTTTTTCAGTACCATAACCAGTGATTCGTGTTTGTGCATTAAGGTCTGATCCATGCAACAATCAGGTAACTGTAACTGCTACATTCAGATACGTACAGTTGTGGACTCCTGACATTTTATCAGTGTGCTCAAAAACATCCTTTCCATGTTGAGAACAGTGCTGGCAATGGCTCGCCCTCCTCAGAGCCAAAACTCAGGTTATAAGCTGTTCCCATGAAGTGTGTACCTCTGCAAATCAACTCAGAAATTACGCATAAAGCTCAGCACTAACAGTAATGCAGCAGGTACCAGAAAAAACCGCTGTTAGATTCTCTGGAATTCTTACTAATCATCTCTAATGGCTTTGATAAATACTTAAAAAAAGAAAAATTAAAAAAAAAAATGAAGCTTTTCTCTCCCAGTCTCTCACCAGTTTTACACAGAAAAACTCTCACACCATTTACTGGCTTCCTGGAAAAGTCAATACATTTAGGAAGTTAAAACCTTTGGCTAAGTGGTAGGAAACACATACGTGAGTTAAGATTTCTGCACAGTTTCAAACAGTTCCTCTGTAAAGCAAGACAAACAAATCAGATAACTTCATGCAGCTTTTCAGCTTTGTTTACATGAAATGTATACTGACCTTGAAGTTTGGAGAAAAATATCTGTTGGCTTTGTCTTTATTTGCTTTGTCTAGATCATTTTTTGTTAATGTAAGGATTAAATATTCCTTGTCATTATCTGAGCGCTCTGTACTGAAAATACCATCAAGTTCCTGATCTGCAACTAGACTTCCATTTTCTACTTTGTCTGAATTTTCATCCAGTCCTATGAAGAATGTATTTACCCAAAAGTGAAACATTTTGTCCTAGGGAGGAAAAACACAAAGAACAAGCTTGCTTTAATATTCTCTAGCAGCTTATAAAATTGACTAATACCAACTGATCAAAGCCAAATCAATAATACCAAACAAAACTAGTTCGGACAACAGTACAGCATCAGTTATGTTGCATGCAAAGACATTTCCACCAATTCGCCCAGGCAATACGCAACACTCTGCATCAATCAAAATACATTTTATCCAATTTCGCTTTCAGAAGTTGCTTCTTATTAAGAAATAGTTATAAAATCAATTATCTATGAAAAAAGTAGATGACAAGTTAGACAAGTGGTAAGCCTGCAACCACAAGGCATAAAGACATTTTCCTACCAAGGGTTAGTCAGATCTAACAACCTGTGCAAAGCATTATAGGTGACTAACATTTATCAACATAGAACATCATCCTCTACAGCCTCCTGTGTAACAGAACATTTTTATTTATATACAGAAATAGTTGTGACTGAGCAAACGCACCCTACAAAAGAGCGCCCATCACAGTGGATTCACTACAGCTTCACGGAGACAGTTCTTAGCAGGTACATGCTTGCTGACCATTACTAAGAGAAGTCGCACTCTGAAAGTGATTGCCATCCTACACAAAAGGGCAGCTTAGAAGACTGTTTACGTATATTGCTCTTAAGCAGAACTTGACAGATGCCCATCACCAGCTATCTGGTCCTTTAGATTATCCACTGTAACACCACAACAGGCATCCAGACACAAAGAGACAAAGTAAAATGTAATTTTGAAAGAACTAGGTGATATCAGCCAGTATATTATGTCTGTCACTAGGATCAAAGAGGTAATACAAGTGTCCATCTCCATACGTGCTGTGGGACCGACACTCTTTAATATCTTCATCAATAACTTCAACAGTGGAGTTAAGTGCACCCTCAGCAAGTTTGCCAATGATATCAAGCTGTGGGGTGCGGCGACACACCAGAGGGATGGGATGCCAGCCAGCAGGATCTAGACAGGCTGAGCAGTGGGCCCAGGTGAACCTCATAAGGCGCAACAAATCCAAATCATAGAATCATCACAGAATGGCCTGGGTTGAAAAGGACCACAACGACCATCTGGTTCCAACCCCCTGCTACGTGCAGGGTCACCAGCCACCAGACCAGGCTGCCCAGAGCCACATCCAGCCTGGCCTTGAATGCCTCCAGGGATGGGGCATCCACAACCTCCTTGGGCAACCTGTTCCAGTGCATCACCACCATCAGAGTGAAAAACTTCCTCCTAATATCCAAACTAAACCTCCCCTGTCTCAGTTTAAAGCCATTCTCCTTTGTCCTATCACTATTCACCCTCGTAAACAGCCATTCCCCCTCATGTTTACACGCTCCCTTCAAGTACTGGAAGGCCACAATGAGATCTCCCCAGAGCCTTCTCCAAGCTTAACAAGCCCAGTTTCCCCAACCTTTCTTCAGGAGAGGTGCTCCAGCCCTCCGATTACCTGCTCCAAGAGCTCCACGTTGTTCCTGTGCTGAGGGTCCCAAGCCTGGACGCAGCACTGCAGATGGGACCTCACATGAGCTAAGTAGAGGGGTACGATCACCTCCCTCTCCCTGCCGGCCACCCCTCTTCTACTGCAGCCCAGGATGCAGTTGGCCTTCCGGGCTGCAGGTGCACACTGCTGGCTCATGTCCAGCACCTTGTTCACAAGGACCACCAAGTCCTCCTTCTCCACAGGGCTAATGCAAGGTCTGCATCTGGGTAAAGGCAATCCTCACTACCAATACAAGCTGGGGATTAAAGGATTGAGCACAGCCCTGCCAAAAAAGACCTGATGGTGCTGATGGATGGCAAGCTGGACATGAGGCAGCACTGTGCCCTCACAGTTCAGAAAGCCAATCATATCCTGAGCTGCATCCAAAGAAGGACAAGCAGGACGAGGGAGGTGATCCTGCTCGTCTGCTTTGTGCTGGTGTGGCCTCACCTAGAGCACTGCATGCAGATGTGGAGTCCTCAGTGCAGGAGAGACATGGACCTGCTGGAGTCTATCCAGAGAGGGCCACAAAAATGATCCAAGGGATGGAACACCTCCCCTGTTAGGACAGGCTGAGAGAGCTGGGGCTGTGCAGTCTGGAGAAGAGAAGGCTGTGAGATGACTTAAGGAGAGCCACAGCAAAGAAGGGGAAAGACTTTTTAGTAGGGTCTGCATGACAGAACGAGGGGAAATGGTTACAAGCTCAGAGAGAGAAAATTTAGCAAAGTGCTAAAGAAAAAAAAATCTTTCACAGTGAGATTGGTGAGGCACTGTAACACTTGGCTAACCATGTGGTTGATGTCCTGTCCCTGGAGACTTTCAAGGCCAGGATAGATAACGCCTTGGGCAACCTGATCTAGCTGTGTAGCCCTGTTCATTGCAGGGGAGTTGCAATAGATGGCGTTCAGATGTTCCTTCCAGCTCTAAGGATTCTATGACTCTATTCTATGACCAGCAGCTATGTTTTGCTCTGGTATAGGCACTCTCTGAAAAAGATACGCTGAGAAAATTCACCTCTACAGTTTCAGCTAAACAGCTCGATAAGATACACTGAATGTCCCTGTAGTACTTCTCCACCATTTGCTACGCCTTCACCAGTCAAGAGCAGACATTTCAAAGATTAGCTATCATTAATAAGCTGCTCTTGACTAGCACACTAAGCACTCATTTATAGGAAACTCTAAGCTGTGTCTACTTCCTTTGTAAAAAGGAAACTCATTTCACTCTACTTTCAGCTTTAAGGCAAAAGATCCAAAATGCAAAGGCCCAGTCTTCCCACAAGAGCTAAAGTTCTTGCATTTCTGTTAAAAGTTGGTGGTTCTACTGCACACTACATGAGCATGCCTCCCTATTGAAGGCAACCTGGCACCAGGAAGTAAGTCATCATTGTTTTCTGGCCATTGGTACTGGAGCAGAGAAGATTTGACTGCTTAGCTAATACTCTTGTCTACAAATTAGTATACCGTAAGTATTAATATAAATTTTCATATTAAAAGTATTAATATAAATTAATATAACGTAAGTACAAAAACATTGACAATTCAAAAGTATATGAAACAAGCAGCATCTGCCTTCCCTATCCAAAGCTCATTAGCCCCACTTTCAGTGTTTTAGGTAAGGCACACAGAAAAAGTTTCCAGCTTGTGTGCATTTCCTATAAGGACCTGAGACATCACAACTATTAAGGAAATGCAAGGGGAAAGGCAAAAGTGCAACATTTCAGCCAGAAACACTTCTGGCACTTAAACAATTATCCACTTCAACACATGCCCCACCAGCATCTAATCTACCACACTAACATGCTATAATTACAGTTGCCTTGGGAGGCTGACAGATCCTTGTCACTGCTACCAAACCCCTTCAAGTTATCTCATGATATCGCGTTGGAGCTAATCCATTCCACTCAGCCATCAGTGCAAGGCCCAGCCTATTCAGATATTTAGCATCCTCTTCTTCACTAATGCTACCTCAAAGTCTTAAATGTCCACCTCAGAATGCGGAAATACAGGATGAATGTCCTGGAAAAGAAGGCTTTACTTTTCCATATTCCTCATGGAACCTCATATGGCAGCAGGTAAGATCCTCATGAAGAATTCTTCAGGATAACTTGGTCCATGCTCCTCCACCATGAAGATGGAGCGCCCAAAAGAAAAAAAATCCACCAAGGAAATGATCACTCCCGATCAAATCAAAAGACTAACCAGTTCAGGTCAAACCAGAAACAACCAACGGCATCAGCCCTTCAGCTTCAGAACAGGAAGGTTTGGAGTCCAGATGCTGTGATAAACAGTGGGAGAGAGCAAGCCTGAGGGTATTACAACTCTGTAAGCAAGTGGAAATATCACCTGCAGGCGCACTGCTGGTGTAAAGGTCAAGTGAAGGGAGAACCCACTTCTTGTCGGTACGACAGTACCACTGACACCACTCTTCAGAATCACACTGTAAAAGCAGTCACATACTTCGGTGCTGGTCCTCAGAGCCACACCGTGGTTCCAAAGAGGTCAGAAAAGGAAAGGACTAAGCTAACAAACACAAATTGCAGCAACTGAATGGAAAGAACTGGAAAATGGCTTATATCAATAGTGCTGAAGCAGCTTTGGAGGAAAACAGTGCCAAAGCAAACAAGGTCACTGAATGCAAACAAACACTGGCAGAGGCAGAAGGCATGGACTTCTGAAGTTTAAAGCTTGATTAGGTGGAGCAAAACCAGGAAGGATTTATTTGGCACATCAGAGCCAGCCTGAACAAGCAATCATGAGATTCGGACAAGACAAATGACAAAATTCTCAGCAGACATCTCTTCATTTGCTTCCTTGGGATAAATTTGAAGAGGTCTTCAGAGGCTGAAACTAAACATTATTGCCTGTCTGAGCAGGTCATTTATCTTATCTCCCTGCAGTTTCTTTAAAGCATCAAGTTATTTTCTCTCCCTTCCTGCTACATTAATTAAGTTAGTTTAATAAACTAAGTTGATGGGTACTGAAACATGGCAGACCCACTCAAACTAAGGGAAGACTTGGTCACGTTTCTGGGTATCACCTTTTGGGGCTGATAATTTTGTCACTGCTCTCAATGAGAAACAAGGCCCATTACTCCAAGTGAGGACTGAGTCAGGTTCAAGCAGCAGACTCAAAGATATTCCACAGGAGGCAATGAAAAAAGAGATGTAGTATGGGCCAAAGACAGAGAGAACATAAAAAATTAAAGCATGACCAGAACTTGGGCTTTATTTATCAAATTTGAGTATCAGAGCAAGAAAAATTATGTAATGAACAGGCTTCTGAAAAATATTAGGTAGGGTTTTTCAGTTTTTTTGTTTTGTTTTTTAAACATACGTTGCTTCACTTCCAATTACATCACAGGAATCCAATTCAAAAAAAAAAATCAGACATTTCTTGCCATAAGCAAGTCAGAATCATAAAATCTACAGTGCAGCACCTGACATTTGAGACAAAAGCTGAATTATTCAGAGTATATCAGCATCACGAGTAACTGTTCAGTTCTCAGGATGACAGGAAAACACACCTCACTCTACAGCTGATATCTGTCTCTAACTGCAGACTGACATCCAAACCTAATATCATTTAAGCCATCAGCAAGGAGTTCCCATATCCCCCAGAGTTTCAATTTGCAGAAGGACCTACGGGCACTTAATCACTTTGCAGTAATAGCTAAGAGTTATTACAGATGCTATCCAGCAATCAAAAGATGGAGGACACGTTCCAAGCTGTTCCAGGCCTGTATCATAGCCTTCCCATAACCACGACTGATGCAACTTGTACCATTTTCAGGTTTGCAGTTGAAGTCTTCTGACATTTGAAGAGTTTGTTCTTCAACGTTTGATAAAAAGCCAAGACCCAAAGTGTTCTTTAACCATGCAGCAGAACTTTTCATCTCTACAAACTCAAAGAAACACAGTGGCACAGACAACAGCTCAAAACAACACTGTCAGCACCACCTACACTAGATTCTGGGTATCAACCAGCAGTGACTTACACAATGACCACTGTTTCATCAGTATGAGGAGTGCTCCTAAAAGGTCTCCTTTACCTCCAGGCTCTGCAGGCAGGAAGACTACCAAATCCCTTGTGTTATTTTTAAACAGGTTCTCATTTAATCAAATGACATATGGATACTTTGAAACCCTTTAATGTTATCATGTCAACATCAATAAGTGAAGAAAACTGTTTCTAATAGGAACACAGAAGCAAACCTAGAGAGACTACAGATTACAAGTGGAGATGGTAAAAGAGCAAGTTATAGGTCAGAAGAGGGAAACAAAACAAATTGCTCAAAGAACTCCAAAATGTTGACTTCCACTGGTCACAAATTCTTATATATGAACTGTACTAAAACACTGTACCATTTCGCTCTCATATGAGCAAGCATACAGAAGGAAAGGAAGTAACTACATGCCAGAAAAAATGGCTAAGAATACAGAAAGCACCTTAATTAGACAAGAAAGAATCCAAAGTTTTGGAATCCCTAGCTGGTGCTAGGTGGCACACATAGCAAAAAAAAAAAAAAAAAAAAAAAAAAAAAAAAAAAAAAAAAAGTGAAACATGGCAACTCTTCCAAAGCAGTCTTACCAGCACCTTCTCAGAAGCACTGAATGACCCTTTGGCAGAGGTTAGTTGAATTTGCTTAAATTAAGTTCTGCCATTAAAATAAAAGGGCACAACAGATTTAAATTTTACATCAAGAACCTAGCATGCACACTCAAAATCACTTGGTCACTAAAGCTTGTTTCATATCATACTAATAATTTTATCAAAGAGCTTTATCAAAGTTGAGGACTTTCCACAGTAGAGCACCTTGCAGATAATACTGCTGTTAGGACTATGAACTCTGAAAGCAGGTGCACGTAGGCTTATCCAGAATGCTCAAGCTGAGACCAGTGGTATTGAACACCAAGACAAACTCAGAAGGAGTGCAGAGAATATTCTTTCATTTCCAGAGATGAGATACAGTCTTTCTCCAACCCAAGCCTCAGGATGGACCAACACCTACTTTTCAAATTCTGTCATTAGTTTGTTGATTAGGATTGTTAGTGAAAGTTAAAATGCTCAGAGGTGATGTGATGTCTTCAAACATGCACAAAAAACTTGTTTGGCAGCTACGTATAAATCTGCTAACAGAAGACCTTGGGAGAAGAGGAATCAGTGCTGGGCAACAGATCTGTCATTCCAGCTTCCAGAAACACACACCTAAGTAAGCTAGAATCTCTGAAGGATGACACTGTCACACCTTATAGCTCAGGTGATCACCGCAGAGACGTGGCAAGCTCTGCAATTTGCAAAGTTCCTGCACTGGAAGACCTTCACTTCTTGGGTTTTGGGTAAAAACTATAGAGTCAAATTATCTGGAAAAAAAAAACACGCTCCACTAAGTGCAAAACAAAGGGGACTTCATGGATGTGCAACACTTGTGCACAGAAGCGTGTTCAGAGTTCTTCCAGGACAGGTTTTCTGCCACCAACATCCATTCACCTTTGCCTACTCTCATCTCAGACACTTTATGTAACTTTACAGAGACCACGAGGAAGGACCATCCTTGGTGCCAAGGCAAACATCGGAGATGGAATATTTCACTAATTCTTAAGAATCGCTCAGCAGTGGTTTCATAAATCAGACTAGGATGTTCACACCTCACATATGCCTCCAATTTGTGTTTGCATTTATGTTAGAACTAATAGAGGTGGTATTACCAGAGCCATGTAACAGCATACAATTTTCTTTTGGCTTCGATTTCTATGTTGAGGGTATTTAAGCATTAGATTCAATAGATTTTTGAAGCAGATTATCAAGGTCGTTTCTTTACAAAAGAACTCTGTCTGGAAAGAGGTTTCATCCTCTCAGGGAAGTTTGCAGAAACTGTTTGCAGTGAAAGCTGTTCTTTCTAACTCCTCGCTTCTCAACCCTAGTGTTAAAAAAAATAAAAAGCAGTATGAAGTTGCTCTTCTCTATCTTGATCTTGTGATCCACAGAACTAGAATAGTTAGGGGATGTTATGTGGAAAAAAATGAAGAACTAGTTACTCAAACTACAAGACTCCTATGAACTGAACTGCAGCTGACATGACACTGAAATGAAACTACAGCACAGCAACACGCTTGCTACATTTCTGCAGACAATCCAAAACAAACATTTCTAGCCTGAATTTATACTATAGAAATCATATGTGACAACAATGACATCTAGTTCATGCTACCACTGGATCTCAGTGCCCTCTCTAGAGGTAAAATAAATAGGAAAGCTCAATCTGGGCACAAGAGACCCAAGATCTTTCATCAGAGCCATGTACAGATGTTATGAGAACTTGCTTGGCGAGGAGAACAGCACAATGCCTCCTAGGAAGCATGTTCACAATCTATCTGTTACCCAAAACAGTAAAGAAACCCAATTCCCAAGTTAGACAGGACAAGGCCTGGTTAAAACAAAACCCTGTCCCAGATGTTTAGGGTTTTTTTTCCCCCATCTTCTCCCTGCATCCCTCACGCATACACACAGAACTTACCTGGCTGTTCCTATAACGCCCTTAAAATTGGCTCTTGTGTACTGAAGTTTTACATATTGATAATTTTAATGCCTAAAAACCAGTCATTTCTGTTTGCCAAATGTTTTACAGTTCTCAATCAGGGCAACTAGGCAATAAAACCACGTTTAATTAAACAAGCAGAAGAAAGCATTCTCATTAAGCATCAGCTTAAACTTCTGCAGGCACTAGCACATGCCAGACAACAGAACAGGACATTTCCAGCTACTGAAAATTTACCACTAAACTAGCTAACAGTAACTTGAAAGAGGTCCATAAACAAAAAAGCATGCATGTGTATCGTATGCACAGCTATTAACTAGCATCTTACAACTTACATTCATCTCCCAGTTCACTCTAGTATTCTCATTATTATGGTTTGTCTGATTGCAGTATTTGCTCAAAGAATGTTCTTAAGCTTTATTCCATTAAACAGTAAACAGTTATTCATTAAGACTGCAATTTTAAACAGTAAGTACAAAGGTAACCTTTAAAACAACAGGGTTTTCATCCTCATGTTTCACTTTAGTAGATACAAACTATCTCTATAAGCACAAACACAAATTAAACATTCATTTTTAATAACTCATTGATTGGTGTCAAATTAAGTTCCAGATTAATTTTTTTCCCCTACAAGCGAGATACTGATAAAATCCTCAGTTTGGAATGAATTCTCTATATGCCTAAAGACAAGATAATGCAGATGATAAAGACAAGGTAATGCAGATGACACTGCAATACAAACTGAAGTAATGGCTGAATAGATTGCAGAGATTTTCAGACAGTGCACAGGAACTAAATTACCTTGGAATTTCAACCAGATTTGACAGATGGATAGAAATCAGCCAATAGCACACACACAGGATCATTCATGCCTGCTAAAATCTCAAGAAAATTTAGTGAAGAAAACAGCTCGAGTTAACTTGCTCAGTATGCAGGCCTATTTTTAGACTGTGAATGCTTCTTCCTCAATTAGATCCTTCACTACTACCCAAACTACTCCAATACGTATCCAACATAATTTATATCCAACCTTTGTACTTAATCTCATTGATTCAAAACATCCAGCCTTCATTTTGTGAAAGACTCTCTACTTGGGAAAACTAGACATGAAAGAATTAGACACTGTGATGGCACATCACTGAAAAATAACCAGTGTCCCAGTCCTGCATCAAGGCTGAGTTGATAACGTTTTCCAAAAAGGCAAGAAAACCAACCTTTTTCAACATCTTGTTCTGTTTGTGGAAGAACTCCACTTTGATATCACCGCATACCGGCAAAGGTTGAGGGAATTCAAAGTACATATACTTGTCTTCACGTCTTGAGGGTCCTGAAGGGGAGGTGAATATCTTTACCTTTAACTGGTACACCACAAACTGAGGATCTGCACGGTAAAAACAGAGTGTCACTTCGCAAGAAATGTCCTTCAAGTGTCAAAAAAATGCAATCAGAATCACAACCATAGCCTATAGCATTTTGAAAGTTCAGTATGCATCATGAATCAAGCACTGCAAGGCAAAGAAAAAAGCTTCATGGGACATAATTTGAAATAACCTCACAGATTTCTGTATTTTGTAGCAATTTGTTCACGCAACTAAAGGATTCCTAGAAAGCTGCATGTTCTTTATAATGGAGTACAAAACAACTATATATAGTAAATTCTTGATTTTTCCTCACACATTTCCTCTCATCTCTGTGTTAGATGAAAGTTCTCTTCTGTCTTTTCTCCATGCTGCATAGCAGGCACTAATGTCAGAACAAACTGATTTCTCTCTTACACAATCAGAGCTGTTAGACAAATAAGAACAAGGATAAAATTTAACAGTAATACATAAATCAATCTGCACTGACAGCAGGCTATACAGACAAAGCCTGTAAAGTCTGTCCTGTAAACCACCACGAGTGCCAGCCACAGTGTAGTTTTCTAAACTAAAGTAACAGCTGAAGTTGTGAGGTTTTGCTGCAGCCTGAGCAGATGTAACTTTGAAACTGCCAAGGGAAGCAAGCACGAAAGCCAGAAATACTAAATGAAATTTATTCCAATAAATCTTGCATTTACTCTTTTAGTATTTTCTGCATTTAATTGTTTCTCCTGGTTTCTCTGTTAATTTCAGGTGTAGACTGCTCTCTAGACAACACACGGTAAACCGTATCTGCCACTGAGGAGCTGTGGGAATCTCAACTGAGATCACCCACACTATCTTGCTGAGCAGCCTGTCTTTATCATCATACTTAACTCTCTCAAATCCTGAGCAATATGAAACCTGGTATCCTTTCTTTTCTGCCTGACAGACACAACTCTGCTCTTTGACTTTACAACAGAAGGAAGATGACAAAGATAAAGATCAAAAAAATACCATTTGTCGCTAAAATTAATACCAGAGTTACAAGGATGAAGAGCAACACATCGCTTTCATTTCTGAAAAAACAAATCAATGAAAAACTGCACAGAAACATAAATGGCAGCACTCCTCAAAGATGCTGAAATTGGTAAGTACTCTGTTTTCCCATATGCTTAGCAATGACTTGTTTATCCCAACAACCTCCTGGAAAAGTAACACACTGAAGTCTGGTAAGGGCAAAACAGTTAATAATGCAATAATCCATACTTCATGTAGCTTGATTTCACAAGTTTATCCACAACACTGAACTGCAGAACATACAACCTCCACACCTCTAACTCAGAGAAAGGTTTTCTGGCAGAGGCTTCCCCTCTGCATCTTCCTCCTGAAAATACAGCTGGCCTGACAAGCTGCTATGATGTTTCTTTTGTGCACTGTGTTCAGGTACCATCTTAGAACACCACCAATACTGCAACTTTACTCAAAACCACAGCAGGCACTGGAACTAATTACACATTGCAGTAATAATCACAGCAAAGCCATTAGAAAAATAATTTCCACTGCAATAAAAAGAAAGAACATGCAGAACCAGGCAGTTCCTGCTCTGTAACACAGCCCACAGAAAGGCAGAAGAGAATATGCAGTCACACTAGGAATTTCCAAGGAATCTGCTGTTCCTTATTGACACACTGCACACCAGCATATCACACTACTTGGTCACTGGGACACATAATACTTTATAAGCCTTTGTCTAAAGAAGAGAATTATTCCATAGATAAAAAAAACTCACTGCGTACATACTTTCTCAAACCACCAGGGGAAAAATAACCTTGCCACACTTGAAACAAACATTATTTTGCAATTCCCATTTCCCAAAAGTTGCTGTATTTTTAAAAACAGCTTTTTAAGAAGGTGAAGAGCAAATATCCAAATATGTTTCCATTTAGTACAATCTAAGATTATAGTAAAACAACAATACAATCCAGTCACCTGAGAATTCACACAACCAGCTCCAAGCCAGAGCTAATGAAGAACAAGGGAGTGCTGAGTACTTACTGCAAGTTCCGCCACTGAACATGGGAATTGTTTCAAACATCATCTTGTGAAACAGCAGTGCCACTGGTCTGTAATCAAGGTGATTCTTTAACAGGTAGCTATAGTAGTACACGTAGCGTCTCTGACTGGGAATTGTGACTCCCTAAACAAAAGGAAACAGACGTCAAAAGCACCCAGAGCATTTCTCAGTAGTCACTAGTGGGACTCCTCCCCAGTATCTGAGAATCTAACTAAAGGTGAATAAATCAAGAACATCTAAAGGCATCTAAAGTACCCCAGCACTCTGTGCAGCACCCCTTCCACCTGTCCTGCAGCGCTTAAGATGTCACACGCGTTAACTGCCGTGCAGGGAGTATGTGGGACCCTGGTTCTCCAGGCACTTCTGTGGGTATTTCCTACATCCAGCTCAAACAGTGAAGCAAAGAATGCAGGCTTCTCTGTACCGCAAAGAGAAAGACCTCAGAGACAGGGGTGTCAGACTTCCAGCAGCACTTTGAGCAGGAGGCCCCTGTAATTTTTAAGCACTGACACTGGAATTTCTACAGAAATGCAAGTCAAATGAGTCTACTGTTGTTTGCTGATATCACTGTACTGACATTATCTGCTATTACAAAACATGTTCCTGAAATGTCTTCACAAAAATCCAGAGTGGAAAGTTTCATTAATACGAGCCTGATGGCCCAACTGTTGAATGAAGGACTTCAACTGAATTACAGCTCTGAAGTAAACGCTTGCTTTGAGAACATATAACCAAAGAATATGTTTATTATCAATTTTGTAATTATTTTAAGCTTCAACAATTAGTTTTAGAGCTCATATAGCTGATACTTTCAAGAGAAAGTGATAAAAGATAAATTTAATTCCTTACAAAATAGGTTGTATGTTTTATATCAACCCACACTACGTATTTGCGGCAGCGTAATTGAGTACACTTTCATACTAAAGCTAAATGTGAAATTGCAATAATCTGAAGATAACAGAAGTTTCTCACACATTAATCTTTTGTCACAAAGCCTACACAATATCCTTGTGTTACCTCCACAAGCATTTAGTTATAATACCTGCATTCCCTTGTAACAGACAGAAGTGAAGGATGGCTGGAATACTCAGGCATCTTTCCGCCTTTATTTAGAAAATGTTGAGTAGTGTCTCCTTACCACCCCAGCTAGTTAAAAATTAGAATTAAGCAAAACACTTCTCCCAGTATCACTTGTACAATGATATTCTTAAGTAGCCTTATATGTGGACAGTATTTGTGGTTTACATGTCATCTTGGTAGTAGTTAAGAGATTCATGTCTTAAGGGAGCTTCAAAGTTTTCTTTATTGGAATCTGAGCCTCATGCCCGAGTCTCAAAGCAAGAGCGCAGGGAAGCAGTTTATGTACTTTCTCTTGAGAAGCTTATATTTCACATCTACACTCACTGACATTTTCTGAATGGGTATGCAATGAGTTCCTCTAGTCCTTGTGCCAGAGTTTCACAATACACTGCTGCGTGGACATCACAAAAATTGCCAGCTGCTGCTTCTGGTGCTCCTCTTATTATAGCAAGGGCAATAGTATGAAGAACAAGCACTTCTGGAAGTAATTCTCCCTGCTAAATCTGGAGCCTCATTGTGACCAAATGGCATTGGGTTTAGCAGAGGTTGTCACCTGGGTCTGCTCAACAAACAGCCACTGTAACAGACCAGCTCTGACACATCTGACGCTGGTTATCTACCCACTGAAAGAGTCATTCTGAGACTTCCTTGCAGAAAATAATTGGTTTCTGTTTCCTGTTCAGTTAGATGTAACCGCCGCCACAGTCACTACTGGGAGCCATTCCTAAAATGCAACAACGTGGAGGTCAAAGAACACTCTTGAATGGATCATCTCCAGCTTCAGCACTTGACTAAGTTCTTCCTACCTGATAACTACTCATGGAGTAGCCAGTCCCTTCTCTGCGGACTACACTTCACCACAGAGGCCTCCACAGAAGTGGGAAGAAACAAAAACCTCATCCATCTGTAGGAAGGCAAACTGTCAGCCTTCATCATTACAGCAGAATTTTGGTGTACGCCTTAGGGAATAAGCCAACCAGTTCAAAGTGCGGATGCAGTAGCAGCTGTTTTAGAAGACCTATTTGGGGACTTACTTCTTCCCCAGTTCTGGAAACAGGAAGGACAACTGCAACTCTTAATCAAGTTTCAGAAAAATCATGTCTTCATACCGTTCAAAGGAGAAATGAAAATTAGTGCCATTCTGCTACAGTGGTGGGGACTGATAGATAACAATCTTTTAGACAATGTTTTTAATCTTTCCCATTCCCTCTTTCTGAAAAAGAAACCCTTTCCTGAGGAGCTGCAGAAGTTGAAAGAGGCAGCTTAGAGGAAAAAAAATCATTTTCCATTTGGAGACAGCTTTTTAGACTCAGTTCTGCAACATCCACTACCCTTCCCAGGATGACGCTGCATTAGCAGACTACCTACTATCTAGGAATTGTCCATTTGTTCCACATCCCCTGTTAGATGTCACAAAGGCTTCTGGCGGAGCTGTTTCTCCCACCAGACACCAGGGAAAAGCTTGCTACAGAAGTACTCATGGTTGTTCTCTTGACTAATTAGTCATACTTCCTCTCGTAATTAGTAGCACTTCCTGCCAGCATAGGTTACAAACCTTCTCAAGAACCAATCTGCCATGCACATCAATGGCAACAGTGATTGGAGTTGTGATCTTCTCAGTTGCTATATGAAAGCTGTGCACTTTTGCTTGCTTTTAAATAAAGAATACCCAATACCTGATTAAAGCCAATTTTCTTTCATCATGTTTTGGCCCAGCAAAAATAAGAAAATTCTCTTGCACCTGGGCACAAGCAGCTCTTTTGATGGCCCAACTACTTTGAGTTCAGGAAGTCAGCTTATAGAGGTGTGGCAAAGCATCAAATCAGAGAGCAGCACTTTGCGTGCAATACCAAAACATGGCCCAAAAGGGAAGAAAAAGCTCCCAGAATCTACACTGGAATACCTGTTTATAAGCACAACTTTTACAATCATGTGAATCACATACTGCTCATTTGCCAAACGTAGTTAACCAGGCTCAAGAGCTGGGAAAAAAAAAAAAACAACTCTTCCAGAAGAGACATCAAAACCAAAACAAAGTTGCTTGTTACTGATAATGTTTACAGCAAAGCTAAACAAGGCACTCACAATTCCTGTTTAATAAACCCCCTGCTACCTCAAACATGCTAATGAACATAACTCCTTATCCTCAGACACCAACGTACAGAAATATTACACTCTTTACAGAAAGGTAAACTGAGGTACAGCATGCTTCACCACGTATTTGTTGCATTTTGAGCTGAGTGATTTCCACGTCATTTTATCTTCAGATAACCTTTAGGAGCAGCCTACACTGTTCATTCATCACACAGCTCACTCCTGTTCACTATCACTCACTCCTATCAAAACCTACAGGTTTTGATGGGAAATCTTAACACTATCTCCTTTCAAGTACGACATCACAACCATATTCTAAGCTGGAATACCAGCTCCATCTCATAAAAACAGCCAACTATTCACTTGCTCCTTCTAATGAATCAGCATCCAAATCCTGAAATTCCTTATACAATACTTTCACTCTCAAGTGCCTTCAAACATGAAACTCAACTTGTTAAAAGGCCCACACGCTGTGAAATGAATACCTAATGCAAACACTGCAGGAACACAGAGAGCTCTGTTCTTGAATAGGCTAAAACTGGCTCAGAGATGATTCCCCAGGGCTGCTCTTACCAACACGTACAAGGAAACAAGGAAGATGAGCAGAGAGACTTGCTGAAACTACCCTGCAAGGCACATCTTACCATAGTTGGGGAAGATTTCACAAAAAAAAAAAAAAGTGTAAGTTTTCATTAAGGATACATAACCATGCCAAAAAGGACCAATGCACAAGTACCGCTAAGTCAGCCTGCGCAGCACTGACAAGGTCATAACAAAGCTCTTGCAGCCACAAACATCATTTCTCTGAGATTCTCTCACACCCCACAAACACAAGAAATTAAACATCATGAAGAAGACTGAGGTGGCCAATGCCTAGCCTCTCTTCTAATTAAAAGGAGTATTCAGCCATAGATATGCTCTTCCAGTAGGGACATTCAGCTGTAAAAAGCACTTTAATGACTATGCATCTCAAAACATCACAGAAGTTGAGAGAACCTGAGGATCTGAACAGCTCATCTATTCAGACAAAACAAGCTAGAATAATCCTCTTATTTGGGCTGAAAATGCTGAATGAGAAAGTTCACTCATCAACCACCTATTTGATGCAACACAGAGCAGAATGCTATTTAAAAGGGTATTTAAAATAAACTGTCCAGGTCACCTTCAACAGGAGATGGAAAAAACAGACCATTTTAGTGTTGCGATTAATTGCTTCTGCTACTTAAGAAATCTTCTTCATTGAAAAGGACAGCACTGACCCAGTAATATTACAGCTAAACCAAACAACATATCACAATTGACAGAGAACATTTCTCAAAGGATTTGACTCTTCAGGAAAAGCCTAAAGATGCACACAGCAAAAAAAGAACAAAATAACTCACCTTCTTGTCTCTGGTCCTTACTTCCCCATAGAAATCTAGGGCTTCTTGAGCCTTTAAAAACTTGCCTCGATGCAACAAATATGCACATATCATTACACCAGTTCGTCCCTTTCCAGCTTTACAGTGGATTGCTGCAACATGATTGTCATCTTCACTTAGCCATTGGTCAAGATCTTCACAAAAAGGTTTGATAAGCTCTAACTGTGGTGGGTTATGGTCTTCAAAAGGGTACTGTGCAACTGCAATGAGAAGGAGTAACTTATCAAAATCTAAAAAGGAAATCACCAAAGCTCAACTAGACAGGTCAAATTCATGACAAGCATGAAAAAATTAACATTCTGAATGAAAAACAGTCTTGCATACAGATTTGTGTACACACATAGCTTTGATTCTGCTGCTATTCAGTAACATATTGCACACTAAATGCATCACATACATTTCTCTAGGAATACGTAACATCTTGCTGCATGAAGAGACTATTCTGTAGTGCTTCTGAGGTCAGTGCTACAAGACTCTGCACCTCACATTTTACTGGAATTTAAGAGTTCACCGGCACAAAAAATAACATCGTGAAAACCCATTAGATAACAATTAGACTACCTGCTGAGAGAAAACAACAGCCAAGCCCCACTCACTGATCAGATGAGGAATTCTGCAGCAAAGATTCAGAGCGTGGTTTAGTCTACATTGGGGACGAACACTCAGAATTTGCTCAAAGGGATTTAGAAAAAAAAAAAAAAAAAAAAAAAAAACGGAAAATTTCATAAAAAAAATTTATAAAAAAAAAAAAAAAAAAAAAAAGAATGGTAAATTCCATACTAAAAATGGTAATCAAAAAGATATCTCACACAAGGAACCTGCAATGTGTTTTAAGGTCAACCCATCAAATGCAGTTGTCAATTTTTTTTTTTTTTTTTTTTTTTTTTTTTTCTTCCCTGAATGCTTTCTTGAAATTCTTTCCATGCCTAGCTGGAAAAACTGTGTGAGTGTCTCTGGATATCAAAAAAAAAAAAAAAAAAAAAAAACCAAAAAAAAAAAAAAAGGAAATCTCAGAAGAGAACAAACATAAGCAACTGGGAAAAGGACCCAAAACCAAACCTCTGTATGACCTGCCAAATCAGATGATAGACAATGCCAGGCTGGCTGGCAGAATTACATGGAATTGTACTAGTTTGGCCACGAGGATTACACTTCACAAAGCATACTCCAATTCTTAATCAACAGACTTGGGTTCTTAAAAATACAAGCCTGGTTCATTCTCAGCTAGAAACACCATTTCCTTTTCTGGTGAGAAAAAAAAAAAAAAAAAAAAAAAAAAAAAAAAAGAATACATTCCATTTTTTGGCATGCATTTGTAATTGTTTTGTAAAGGCTACTCTTTTGCCACAGATCATGGCATAAGTTTGAAGCCTTTCAGAGAGACAGTTTAGTCTTGCGCAGTACAGACTGTCCACTTAATCTCTCCTAGGAGAGCAAAAGCCTGATAAAGTGAATAATCTGTTAAAAAAGCTTAATGAACACGAACATCTACTAATAAGTTCTTGCACACAGAAGATCTAAATAATCTGCAAATGATCTCTGCATGCAAAGTTACTCGGATGTTACTTTCTGCTGCAGATATAAGTGAATGATATTAAGAAATCCCTGAAAGAGGAAATCATTCAGGAGATACTACAGATCTTTGACTCTATCTTAACTACATCTAATAATGTTCCTCTAAAGAGAAGAGACAACATAACGCTAGAAGAGCTGCATGAAAAATCAAAAATAGTAACAGTTTGTTGAGAGACCTGAAATAACAGACAAACCTTGCAGGATTTTCTACAAAGGCTGAATGAAAAAGTGCTGAAATGGATGTACTGAAATGGTTTAGAAAGCAACCTTAGAAAACATCAAGTTGCCTTGATCTGTTTTGAGGAGGGTGCAGGCGCTCCATGGATGAGGGCTGCTAGTACTGGAAAGAGGAAAGCGTGGAGAACAGCTAACTCCTCTCTCCAAGCTCCCAGACATTGCACATAAGGAGGGAAAACAAAACCAAAAAACATGGCAAAGCCAAAGGCCACTTCCAGTGCTGGGGTACTTCAGAAACTACACGAACTCTAGACAGAAAGTTAGTGTCTGTGGACAAAGAGCTTTCAACATTTGTTTCTACATCTGATGCAAGAACATTCCAGCTGAAAATTACTACGGCGTCCCACATTCAGTACAGAAATGAGAATTTCCTTTTGAAATTACTTCACTCCCAAAGATTTTAAAATACAACCATACTTCTGCTGCTGCTAAAAGTAAGCCCCGAGTCACAAATTTGATCACTTACATTAAATAATTTGGCAAGGAAAGTAATAAAAAATATGAAGCTCCCTAAAACAGTGTTGTCTTATACAGAGGAACTGTAAGAAGCGGTGTCACAAACGTTGCCGGTCACAATTGACTGCAAAGGGATCTAAGCACCTCCACAGTAAAAGCATAAATTAATGCAAGCACATGTACCAGACATGATATTAGAAGCATGTGCTTTTCATTTACATCCTTTCTCCTCTTACCCAAAGAAGTGCTCAAGCAGATCATAAGATAACTTTTTTTTTCCCCTTTGTGTTTGCTTAGCAAGGTTTCAGAACATTGCTATTCAACATAATTAGAGCAAAGCAAGAGCAGTGATTACTTCAAAAATGAAGGTTTCAATCCTTCTGTATATTCAGACATTAAAGCAGCCAACTGGCCATGTAGTAAACAACCTGTTCACAACTAGAAGGATGTATAAATTCAATAATAAAGGACCTAGTATCAGCCAGTTGGAGTAAAACTCACTCACCCCCAGTTTCATATGCAGAAATACCCTTTTCCCTACCCAGCCATTCTGAAGCACAACGTAAAGAGGAATTACAAGTCTCACCACAGCACACAGAGATATTTCTCCACAGAAGGAACAAAGGTAAATCTGCATTTATTTATTACCTGGGGCATTAATACTGACAAGACAAGAACATTGGTTTCCATTTATTACAAAGGGCCTGATCAAAAGGAGTTCCTGAAAGCTTCCCCACAGGTTCTGCAAAGTGTCCAAGAGCCATCTTACCTCAAACAGGCATCTTGGAAATTTAATTTTGTTTTTATTAAAGAAACAGAAGGTATGTTTGAGATCTTCAAAAAGCTGTTGCATATGAACACTGAAAAATAGGTTGGTAGTGTTCTCCATTTTTACTGTACGTGATGCTTCAGCATAAAATAATAGTTCTCCTTAAGCTTCACAGCTAAATTTTACAGTAAGTCTGCTGACAGAATTGAATAGAAATCTCTATACAACTCATTCTGCAACAGTTTTTCAAACAGTAGATTTCTAATTGCCCCATTAGGTCTTGTTTTAGTTAGGAACACTGGTTTTTAAAAACATAAGGAATACACCAAGTTTCTCCAACGATTCAAATGCTATTTGACATGATTCTTTGCTCCCAAATCTCCTACACTACATTCTATAGTCCCATTTTTAGTACTGGTCTAAATGTATAGCAATGTTTTATATTACTATGCATTACTATCAACTCTACTTTACACCATCATCCAGAAAAAGTGAAATACAAAGAGAAGAACACACGCTAGACTGTGAATACATACCTCTGCAGTTAAATTTGGCGGTATCATAATGTCTTTCAGCACATCTAAAAAGAAAAATAAGACAGAAGTTCAAGACATTCTCTAAGGCACTCCTAGCATCTGCCACACCTCAGAGCATACAGATTAGCATATCAGAAAATCATGTAGACACATCATCATTATAATCTAAAACTATAGCTAGAGACTACATACAAAAAATAAATATTTTATTGCAGATATACAAGTCGGCCAATAAGGAATCAGTTATTTTAGTGCAAAGCAGTAACTTACCCTAAAGTAAATGTGGTCCATCAGTGATTTAGTCACTGTGACTCTCAACGGAGACATTCATGCAAGTAATGCAAGACATGCTTATTTTTAACGCAGTAGGTTTAGCTATTCCACCCACTCAACAGCTTTAAAACTCCCATATGAGCAAACAGAGGATGGCTATAACCTTCATCCAATTTTCTCTGAACTCAAAACACATGTCAAGAAACCTTCACAGCAACAAACAAGCTAGGGCTTATGGTAGTCACAAGGACATTCAGAAGACACTCAGCTAGAGCAACCTACATAAGGACTCTTCCACCAATTACAGAATCATGATACAACCACCAATAGTATCTGAAAGCACCACTGAATGGTAATACACATCAATTATACCAAATAGATTGCAGTACAGCTCTCCAACATGGTATTTTTTTCTTTGACTTGCACTAATATCTGCTTTACTATGCTGCATGAGATCCAGCCTAGCTAGCTGCCAGCAAAACAAATCACATGATCTCAGTTGTTCAGGATGACACGTCTGGGGATGAGCATCACCAATATAAAGGATAGAGAGGATCTAGCCAAAACAGAAATGAGCTAGAGCTGATACTAGGGGTAAGGGGAAAGAAAGTAAGAACAGCATGCCCTCTGCAATATTCCTTAGAGATTGCTTTCTGCAGGAAAAGCGTTGTGTCCCTATGCAAAGCAAGTGAAAATGAACTTCAGGAGGAAAGGCAAGAACAACTCTTTTACAAAACAACAGGACTCTAGCTTGAAACAGTGACTGGAAGTAATTTCAGTAAAAGAGAAAACACATCTAGGTCTTCCATTCTGATTATAACCTGTATTTTTCATAGGGTTCAAACATCCCCCGCAGCTTCAGGACCAGTATGACCTTATCTTTCCTTTGGTAAATACATTACGAGTGCAGCCTTTGAAGCTGTATAGAGCTTACTTGGTACTTTCAGACATGAAAATGCAGACTTCTAGGCTCTTGCTGTATGACTATTTCACCTAGCCTGAGTCTTACAGGCACTGAAACAAGCTTGGTCCACAAAATTCAGACAACCAGGGTTAGAGACATATCTGCTGGGATAGCACTAGCGAATTGCAGCATCACAGAATACCCAGAGTTGAAGGGGCCCACAAGGATCATTGAGACTCTCAGCTCTACCACAGCATCACCCAAATCCAAACCCTACGTCTGAGAGCAGCGCTCCAGCACTCCCTGAGCTCCAGCACTCAGGGTTGTGCCCACTGCCCTGCACAGCTCATTCCACCCCACCGCCCTCTGCCACAGAGCCTTTCCCTCACCCCCAGCTGCCCTCCCCTGACAGCTCCATGCTGTTCCTTCGGCCAGTCACCGTCACACAGAGCAGAGCTCAGCGCTGCCCCTGCGCTCCCTGTGAGGAGCTGCAGCTGCCACAAGGCCTCCCTTCGGCTCCTCTACTCTGGGCCAGACAGACCCAGGGACCCCAGATGCTCCTCACACCTCCTGCCCCCCAGATCCTTCCCCATCTCTGTAGCCCATCTCTGGATGCTCTCCAATAGTTTTATGTCCATCCATCCGATATTGTGAAGCCCAAACCTGCACCCAGTGCTCAAGGTGCAGCTGCACCAGCACAAGGCAAAGCAGGACAAGCCCCTCCCTCGCCCGCTTGGCACTGCTGGGCCCGATGCACTCCAGGGTATGGCTGTCAGGGCGCACTGCTGGCTCAGATCAACTTGCCTCAGCCAGAACCCCCAGATTCCTTTCCATGAGACCGCTCTTCAGCCTCTCATCCCCCAGCCCATACATTCAGCCAGGGTCATCATGCCCTAGGGACAGTGATTTCCCTTTTCTGCACTGCTGAACCTTCCTGGGTCTAGCCTTCGCTAGGCAAAAAGCCAGGTGGTTTCCACAGCTCTGATCACATTGCTGACACTTTCCCTGGGTCAGAAGTGACATGAAGCAGACTGAGTGGCAGGTGTGTCTCAAAGAACTATTATCTGTAGCCGAGCCTTCAAGAAGAAAGGTCAGACCCTGGATATAAGCCCAAGATACAGTCAGCATGCCTGGAGCAGCCATCAGCCATGCTGGGCAAAGGACTGGTACAAGTTAGTCAGTATTTGAACTCTGGAAGCAGAGCCTGCTAGGAAGCAAAGCAGTTAACACAAAGCATCTCATCTAACTGTGCTCTTCATTAATCTTCCTTTTAAAGAAGCACCCAGTTCAAAGGAATAGTATGAGATGAAACTTCAAAACACAAAAAGAATCCACATATGGACAAAAAAGCCTTCAAATTGCAAAGTTTGAAAGAGTAGCAAGTAGAATACATAAGGGATAAAAAAGAGTTTTGTTGATACCAAGGATAGAAACTGAGCACAGAACATAGCCATGTTGCTCTCTATGCCTTCATAGGAGAGCTGTACACAACACAGGAGAAATGTAGAGCTCCAGGCACGGCCCTATAAAACATACTTCCTTGTCCTCACACGAAACATATGCTACCCGTGTCTGAGATCCCACTGGCACGTGTTTTTGAGATGCTTCCATTGCTTAGCATTTTAAAAGCATCTGTTTTCTAACCATGATGAGACCTGTAATACAGTCAGACCTCCATCTCAAACCTGCTGACAGGGCTACAGATTACAGAAAAGACAGCAGCCTATGCCAGTGCCTAACTCCCTGTACATGGAGACATAGAAATAAGCACAAAAATGTACCCTTCAAGAGTCTGCTTCAATTAAAGACATACAATGGAGAAGGTGAAGAAGCAAAGAGAACAATTTGGCAGGATGCAAAGCATGAAAGCAAAAGTAAATGAATGTGTTAAGGTAAGGAATAATAAAAGAAAGAATAGCAGAAAGTTAAAAGCCTACATGAGAAAACACAAGGAACAAAATGAAACAAACTGCTCAAATATTCACTGGAAGTCAAAAGCTAGACTGTGAGCATAAGGAATAAATTACATCAGTTAAGCATCCATTCAGAATAGTTTTAAATAAAACTGTTCAATATATGCAGCATTATCAACTCCATGAAACAGCTACCACAAGAGATCTCAAACGTCATGAAATCACTGAGTAACTTCCACGTAACTTCCTTAAAATCCTACTTCCTTATTGGTAAAAAAAAAAAAAAAAAAAAAAGGGTATTATTTACAAAGGATAGGACAAATCTACAGAGATGCTGCTCTCTGAAATACCCGAAGGCTGTAATTTCTTCCCATTTCATGACGAAACATTCCAACAATTCACTTAATAGCATTTATTTAATGTGCACAGATTTTGTGTGCACACAGATAATCCGTCTCTGTAGCCACAGAAATTTTAAAAGGTGAGTTTTCCAAACAGCATTAAAAACTTCAATCTCCTCTTGCAAGCAAGAAATCGGTGTTTCCAGGACAAAGAGAATCCATACATTTGAAAAAGATTTTTTTTCCTCCGTGAAAATTTTGATCTCATGGGAAACATTTCTATTTTTGAAAGCTTCATTAGAGATTATTTTGAATTCAGCAGCAAGGGAAATTGATGGAAGCTGGCAGATTCTTGCAATTGAAAAGAATAAGTTTTTATACAAAAAACTTGAAGACAAAACCTTCTGACACACCTGAACAAGCTCTCTACATAGTTGAAAATATCAGCAATGTAAATATTAGAAGTATTTGTCTCACTGCTTAACTCCGAAGCATGCAGAGGATGGAGTTTTTTGTCCCCATTTTCCCTCTTTGAAGTAAAATGAGGTTGCCAGCACATAGCCAAATGGAAACAACTCAAGCACCATCCTTGCCCCTAGAAATCCTCGCCAAGAATTTTTTAATAAATTCCTACTCTCTGATCAAGCCTAGAAGTCAAACACAACCTATTGTTTTAACCTGTCCCCTCTTGAGCCAGTCTGAAGCATCAAGTTCAGCACTATGCGGTTCAGCAAACCTTGGTCCTCTAGGAGACCCCAGAAACTTACCTACAGAACTCCAGCCCTTAGAATCTGGAGAAAATTAAGTCACACCCAGGGTAGGGTGCTGTAGCAAAAGCACTGCAGGTACATTTTACACAACACAGATGTTCAACAAAGATCAGCAAAGAAAGATGCTCAGAAAGCTATCTCCCAATACAGCTGCACCAACTCACAGCAGAAGCCGTCAAGTATCCTGGAAGCATGGTCCTTTCCATCCGTGAATGTCACTAAGACATTTATTAAAAGGCTAACAAAAACTTTCTGGATAGTTATGACGGAGAAAATAATTTTGTCACTGAACTGCATGAATGGTGTCCAATTAATTTATTTTAATGCATATTCTAGTCAAAAATCTGTCCCACTCTACCCTGGACTTCACAGAGAACTTCAAACGACATTATTCCACATCTCAGGTTCCAGTATTGCTTCATTCCAACATCAAAAGTCAGAAATCATGCTTGATGCATGAATGATCCTCCAACTAATACAGAGACACATTTAAACACTTATTTTAATGATTTTCAGATAGCAGTGGAATGCATTGCCTGAGTCTACATACAACTACCCTGAGCTGTTAGGAATTTTTGTTGTTTTTTCTTTTTTAAATAAATATTTCTAAATAACCGTGATTAGTAGAAAAATTACAGATACTTAGAAAGATTTATTTAGAGAAAAGCAGCAGCAGCAGCTCTAAAAGTTCACAGAATCGATAAATCTAAATGCAGATTTTTGGGAAAAATATCTGGGTAAGAAAACCAGGACCTGTTCTTCAACATCCGCTGACATTACAAAATCACTTATACAAATAAAATTAGGCTAAATTAGCATATAAAATGACCAGGGAACAACAACAGCAGCAGCATTTGTTATGTAACAAGAACAGCTTTCAGAATAACTGACTTTCCTGAGGAAAATATTCTTCCCTCTAAAGCAATCATCGTGCTCCAATTGTGCAATAGTTGAATCAAAATAATGAGCAGGAACTGAGAGGAATACATACAGAACCTGGGTACCAGCACAGCTCAGTACCCCTCAGGAACACAACACAAACAAGACAGCATTCATCTGGCAGCTCCTTCACTCAGACATACATACATACACGAACGGAAAGCCTGCAGTGAATTACTTTTCACTTTTTAATCACACAGTACAAGCTCTAGATGGGCTGGGTGCCAAGTCATTTAAAAGTGTTCAAGTAATATGAATACACACCAGCATTTCATTTAACCTCACTCAGCTTCACTAAATGAAGTAACAGTGCTCTCAATCAGGCTTAATTGTTTTAAGAAATGTGCAAAACATCTCTAGCTCTGCTTCAGCAAAGCAGCAAGACACTCTCACTTCCAAGCTATTTTTAGAATTCATCATTTTGGAAAACAAATCTTTATGAACATACTTACAGATTGTATATCTTGTAATGGTTTTTATGCTTTGAATCCAAAAACCTTAAATAGGGAAAAAGAAAAAGGCATGCATTAATATACAGCACGGTAATGGTGATCTCAGCTCACAGCATCAACAGGATACCAGCAGCATGCGCAGCGATGTGCTCCCAGTCCAGTTGGCCTTGCACTGCCTCCAAGGCAGGCAGGCATCATGCTGCAGCCCTCTCCCCTCCAAATAATCCATCAGCCTGAGTAAGGCTACTTGTGCAACCAAGGGGCCTAGATCTGACCTGCAACCCAACGATTACTGTACACACCCATCTATGGTGATTCCCATCTACAAATCAATACATTATGTAGGTGAAGGGCTGATTCTTATTAAAGCAGAATGTATAGTGCCCAGTAACATTATGGATGCAGAGTGCACTTGGTGCTTTCCGCTTATTCTTATTAAAGCAGAATGTATAGTGCCCAGTAACATTATGGATGCAGAGTGGACTTGGTGCTTTCCGCTTTTTACGCTTTGCACTCATTTTATTTTTGTGCTAAGTTTGCACTGAAAACTTCCCCTTCAAGTCTCAGAGAATCAAACTGCAAACATGATTCATCAAAATTGCCATGATTATATATGATGTGTCACCCAGTAATGTTCAAGAAGAAATAACATACAAATGTTTACACTTAACATCGTCAACAGTGTGTATCTGCACATCAGCCAGAAGGAATTTAATTAGCCATGACAGAACATGCTGTTCAAATTGAAAGAAACGGTAACTGCTAAAATCCTGGAAAGCTCAAGCAAAAATGAGCTCTGCTTATCACTTGTAATATTCCAGAAGAGCCTAGAATTCTGTGGTTAAACTGATGCGTTTAAGTAAGAACAGATGTGTGAGTGCTCTTTGGTGCTCTCAGTGAGTGCTCTCACTGAATATGGGACTCCAATTTCACCTACAGAAATCCTTCACAGTGCCCATGCTGGCAGACTTTGGGAGATTAAGGAAGATGCTGGACACAGCAATTTATTCCAGGAGATGTTCCCGCAGGTCTGAAGCAGCTGGAGGGAGAGGAGAGCTGGCTCCACTTCTGCCAATAACATCTGCAGGACTAAAGGTAAGCTTCCACACACGTGTTTTCGTAAGGACAAAATTCCATCCAACATGGAAGCCCCAGAAGACAGCCAGCAGCCCAGTCACGCTCCTCATATAGTATCACTGTCAAATTGGTCAGGATGCTAGCTATTCAGAAAAAGCCCACCAGCACATCCCTTGTGGCTCAAAGCCCATTTCTACAGAGCTCAGGCAGTGAATTTTGACATACAAAGCTCTTGAAAGAAATATTCCAAGTATAATGCTACTTCAGCATCCAGTTCCCTACAGACATTTCATTTGCATCACTCCATACCTTAATTTGGCTCATCACACTTGGAGATTACCGTTAGTCCTTTGGAGCAACAGTGTTTATGGATAACTTAACAAATATCAGTAAATCCCTTATTTGTTTGTTCTGTGATCAGCATTAATACAAACCTTCCTATTAGGAAATGTTGACTTCATGCATCTCAACAAATCAAGCAGAGACACAGGATTTTAAGGAAATAAATTACAGAGATGCTCCCAAATTGCTAAGATCTCATACAGTTGTATCCAGCAGTTCAGAACGTGTAACTTTCGTGTTAAAAACAAAACTTTCACAAAACATGCTATCAGTGTCACCAGCAGTAACGAATTTTGCCTCTTTTTTCTTCTTCAGAAGTTAAAACACAGCCTTTACCTAGAGCCATTTGTTACTTACTGCTATCAAAATTAATTTATCAAGAACTTCATTATCAAGTAGAGAAAGGCTATATGCAAACACTCTGAAATGCCATCAGCTATCTGAGGAAACTCTCAATTCCACATGGATGCACATCTTTCTAAAAGCAAAGAATCTCATTTTACTGCAACACAATTTGCCAAGTCCATTTTTTCACATGACAAAGCAGATGTGGGCTCAGCACAGAACAGCAGCCTGGAGAACACTATTCTCAGTGTTTCCAACTAAATACTAATAAAATACTAATAAAAGCAATGTCTATTAGATAAAAGAACTGCCATTTTTACCAGTCAGGTAGTACATCCTTTCCTAAGCAGAACATAAGTGCCCTTTTCTGCACCCATTTAAGATGAGAATAACTTAAAGAAGAAGAACAAAGCCTTACCTTACTACATCATCAATATTGTTCCGGTATACTCCTTCAAGCCTCTCCGCAGGAAAACCCATAGCAATTATGTTTGGATAAATATCTGAATATCTGAGTTACGGAAACACTTACAAAATATGTAAAACATGCATAACAATATTAAATGGAGATTGTGAAATATTTCTTTACTCCTGCACCAGCTGGAGAAACAGCCCAGAGCAACTTCCATATTCAAAGAATTCAACATCGTACATACAGTAATAGGGGGTTCCTTCAGGAAAAAAAACGTAAGAAAAGATCAAGGGAAGAAGAATCAGTACAGAATTTTTTCCATAAACAATATAACATCCAATATGACAGAAGTCTGCTTATAATTCACAGATAACTTAACAAATTTGTACAACTGAATAGGTGATGTTAACATCGAGTACAAAAGCCAAACCATGTTACCCGCGCCACCATGCCTCATCTCACTGAATCTGCATGTACGCCACACAGTGGTCTCTCTCCACAGTTTGAGTGGTGTATCAAATTCATCACGAAATTATTTTACAGTCTTGGATGACTAAATTGCAAAATGCTCCAAGTCAGTGCCATGGTAAAGTCCCCAGTGATCCCCAAATCCACCTATCATGCAACACAAAAAAAGCACATTTCAGTCATGCAAACATTGCAATGGAACATTTCTAATATCTATTATCATTTCTAATTTCTTATTCTGAACTACCAAATCAATACAACCTGAGATAAAGATCTCCAGAAAAGAAGAAAACCACACTGCTAAGAGAAAAAAAAGAGAGAGAAGTAAACTTGCATCCAGAGCAGATGTGTAAAGAATTCACAATAGTTTGCCAAAAAATGACCAGCATTTAGTATCCTGGTGTGTAATGACAGATGCTGTCGTTTTTTAAACACAACACAAGAAAACACTCCTTAGTTTTAAACATCAGAAAAGTTAATGCAGTGAAGAAGTTTCACCGAAAAGCAAAACAGAAATGAAACCAGCAGCTCAAAAGCAGCCCGTACCCTGCCACATTAACATACTCCTTCTCAGACTAATTTTAGAAGGAATAAGAACAATATGTTTGCAGTTGGCCCCACTTTAAACAACGGAGCTGGAACAGGTGACTTCCAGAGATGCCCTTCAACTTAAATTATTCTAAAACTACAAGAATGACTGTCCTTGTTAAAACACCAACAATACAACAAAACTGCCAAGAGCAGGCAGCAGGATGAAGGCACTGCAGCCACTTCCAAGATATTCATATTCCAGTTAGCTGCACACAACAAAAAACCTGAAATATGCTGCAAGCTATCTCACCCTGCCCGGACAGAGATCCCACAAGTCTGAGTACTTGGCAGTAAAGCAGCATGGACTGAGTTCTGCAGTTAGCTCAACAGCTGGCCAGCTGGAGAGCAAATTTTTATAACAGTACACAGAAGTTATGTATTCTCCGAAAAAGAAAAAAAGAATCTAGCATTTACTGTGTGGTATCCAAATATAATTAAGCATCAGTCTGCCTAGACTGCTCTAAATGAGTTACGCAGACAACAATAAAAAAAAAAAAAAAAAAAAAAAACTTCTGAGGGATCCAAACAAGTATCTGTAGCTACCTCCTCAAACACTGACACATAAAAGGGATTCATGCCTCGTTTCTAATTCACTCTGCACTTCCCCAAACCTCAAAAAAAGCTTATCTTGGAGAAATTAAATTGCTCAGCATTCAGATCCCGTAATTTCTGATACTATCATATCACATCAATCTTTAACTTTGAACTTTGCTCTGAATGGATTTTACTCTGGAAGCAAACCACACCTCTTAGCTCAAGTAGCAAAAGCACGATACAACTCGCAACGCATTTACTATTTTATCAGTTATTACTTGCTGTAAGATTAAGAAAGCAGTTATAAGCCATGTGCACCTGCTCCATGCCTATCACACATCAGTGCATCACCTGACATCCAGCTATCACATCCCATTGCTTCCTCCTTGCTCCTGACTTGCAGAACACAGAGCACACATCTATCTGCTGCAGCTCTACCATTTTTGCTCAAAGCACCTCCATCTATACACTGCTCTGAGCAGAAGGGCCCTATAAATTACTGTAACAAAATAACCCAGAATATTAGTCTGGTTTTCACAGCAGTTCTGCATGGAAGACAAACCCTTATGCTTGCAATGGGGTTAAAATCGATTCATTTTGACACGCCATGTGAAAACCATTTGAAGTTCTGCATAAAAAAAACCAACCTGTTTCAACTACAATATCACCCATGACACAGACGTTAGGGCTAGCCAGAATTACTGTATAACTTGCTCAAATCTCTATTTACAACCACAAGATTTACCATGCGGCTTCTTCATGTATTCAATTCAGTAGCTGCTCTTCTTGCTGTCTCTGGGACACTAAAGTAGGAGACACATTCCAGTATTCCCAGATGGTACAAGATGGAAAGGAGGCAGAGAGCAGAACATCTTAGCAGCATTTCTACTTCACAGGCACACAGGTGTCCAAACACCAAAAGCCTTGAGCATGCACGCAGACGGAAATAAAAGGTTCTAAATTAACTGGGCAGTCACACACTTTTGGATATTGCAATCCCTCTTGGCCCTGGACTCTCAGGTGGCTTCTCAAGAGTGCTACACATGCAGCATGTGCACAGCTCATTTGCACTTCTTTTCTAAATCACAGCAAACCCACAAGAATTGAGGACACACAAGCTTAATCACGTATCAGAACTACAGGTGAAAATTTAATCCCAGAGCTAGTATCGCTAAAGATGTTCCAGAAAATGCAAGCAAACGGAAAAAGGGGAGGAAGGGGGAAAAAAGTGCCAATCAGTTTACTGACACCAATTCAATAAAAGTGTGGGTGCTGTAAGGTTTTGGAACAGGACAAGACAAACAGAAACACTAGTGAAAAACAAATATCCAACAGTGAGCTCAGCAGGGGTTCTGATTTTAGGCAAGCATGACTGTCTTTGAACAGGCACACAAGCCTTTCTTCCACCTAAATATAAGCATCCTGAAGTACCTTCCTTATTATCTCCACACATCAGGCTAGAATGCAATTCCCACACCACTGCTGACTCACTGCTGTCTACGAGGTATCAGGCTGTGCAGAACACCGGGTGCAGCAAGCCAGCATTGCGACTGCACAGCATTCATTGAGCCACAGGATTCTTCTGCACCAAACAAAAGGAAGTGACAACTCTAGCAAGTGTATTATTCATATTGCTGGGGAAGAGCATTTGGTGGGGTCTACACAGGCTTCTGACAAGCACGCTGAAGAAGAGCACTGCTCTGAACACCTCCTGTCGGTTCCAACGGCCAAAAACCATCCTCTGAAAGGAAAGGCTGAAGAAGGAACAGTAGTGCTTTTACTGCCTCTGCTCATGATCCAAGTCCTAAAAAACTGCTATGTTAACTGAGTTGTTCTACCCTTTCCTGATAAATCCACACTGAGAAGGTGATTATCCCTACTGCACCAGTACCAGCATGCTATTTTCCTGATACTGGGCTCCTCCCCAGACACAGCTATGGATTTACCATCCCAAAGCATGCAGAGCTGAAATAATTATGATACCGCACAGAACATCATCTTCAAGGAATCGCTTCCATCATCACCACACTGCAAGGCAAAGGGACACTGCTTTCCATACATGAGTAAATTAACAGATTTCTGAAGACGAAATTAAAAGATTCTAGCAACATGACTTTTCTCATGGAAGCTTGGAAGCCAGGCTTCCATTCAAAGCAAGAATTCCAAGCCATGAAATTAAAAAATGATAGCAATCATTTTAGAAAGCTGGATAATCTAGCAAGTACAAGAAGTTCATCATCAATTCCAGCTTCACTTTAAAGAGACAAATGGAAATGGTTAAAACCTCAGCCAGTTACTGAGGCAGTTTTACAATGCTTCCAGTTTGCATGCAGAAGCAAAGTCAACCTAAACATGAACTACCAGAAAACATAAAAGTGGGCTTAATGGAAAAGAAAAAAAAAAAAAAAAAAAAAAAAGAAAATCTGCTGCCTTTTGCCACAGCAACTCTTTCCTAAGGAACTCATTTCTGAAAATGGTCTCAGTACCTTTTAAAGAACTTCTTTCTTTCTCAACTTGGGAATCATATAAGTTGATATTTCACAGTTAAAAGATAATAAAACAACAACCAAGACAGACTGAATGCCCTGACACGACACAGAACAGCAAAACACTGGAACGTTGCCCCCTACTCAAGTTTATACTTCTTACTAATCACAAAACTTAGCTTTACCCAAGACAAAAAATTGAAGTACCCAGCAGTTTGCTAAATGCCCAACACCATCAAGCAACGCCATTTCAGTGTAAGACAAACCAGAGGAAAAATTTCATATACTACTTCAAAAACATTTTTGCTCTAATGTAAAAAGCTGTTTAAAGCCTGAAATAATTCCCAAGTGCTAAAGATGACAGTCCCCCAGGTGCCATGAGAAAACCTCTGTGTCATTATGCAAATCAGTAGTTATACTCGTTTTCAAAAATAGTTGTCCAGGTATCCACATTTTGCAGAGATCAAATTAAAGAATGTGCAGTACACACTTAAATCTTAACTTTTATGTATATGCATAGGCAAATGACTCACGTTGGTCTATTAATTTAAAAACGTGATTTTTCTCACAAATTGAGTCTTTTTCCTAATCGTGGAAGCAGGCCAAAAAAAAAAAGCAGCACAATGAAATATTTTCCAGTTCTTAAATAGACACAAAAAGTAGCAAAAACACACAGCCACAGCCCCTCCTGCAACAATCAATCTTCTCCATTAACATCCAGAACTTTATCAATGAGCATTTCTGAGCAATGTATGAAGTTCTGTTCCAAACAAAGTAAGCATTTAATCCCCTGTCCTTGCCCTACTCTAGGAGAAAACCAGAAAGCTAACGACCTAATCTTCCTATTTTGTAAGCATGCTCGAGCATGCAGTGCAGAATTTACATACGGCTTTACTTTCTAAACCAACACTGACAGGCTTTAAATCAAAGCCCAAATAAAAGACAACTTTAAAACTATTAGCCCTATGAAACCAAAAGTTGCAGGAGGATCTACTAGTCATTAGGCTGAAGA